GTCCTCCTGGAACTCCCCTCTTTCAGAATCCCTGGAATACATTTTGGGAAACACTGTATTAGAGAATCAGTTAGAACGATCCTTCTGGCCCAAAGTGAACTGAATCCTGCAGGCTCAGCAATGTGCGATGATGGAGAAGCCATGCTGTGACTTACCTTGGAGGTGTTACATTAATTAAACAAGGAGACCATTAGACTGATGTGGCTCTCATGCCCTGAGAGCCTATGGAAGCAAACCAAATCACGAGCCTGTAAATGCCTCAGGGTGATGAAGTCAAAATGTTAAGGACAACCAATCACAGCCATCTAGGCTTTAAGCTACAGCCAATCAATAACTGCCTTACTTTGCTTCCTCCTTTTCACAATAAAAGTCCCTCCCCAACTCCTCTTGGTGGGGGATTCCTACCACTTCCAGTTTGGTGCTGTATGACTCGAATCGATTTTTTGCTCAAATAAACTCTTAAAATGTTCAATATGTGTCTTTTAACAGAGGTCACACTTACACAGACCTGAAGCAACCTATCATCCACGTACGGTGGCAAAGCCAGGATTAGAAAGCAGGTTTCCCAAATCTGGGTCCAGCATACTTCCCACACCACCATTTGGCTTGGTCTCAAAAACAGTAGACGGTCTTCCTTCCACTTAGATTGCCTTCCAATTGTTATTCATTTTGAAAAAATAAAATTAATCATAGAAACGCTCAACCCCTTCTGGTTGGGGTGAGCCACTTTAATTTCCTGAATGAAAACAGTGGAACTTGCCTTTAACAAGAAGGTCAGGAACTATATTTAAAGTCACTGGAGTATTAATATTGTTGCAATTACAGTTAATCAATTTCACAGCCATCTCTGACAGCGATGGTGCTCGAGGGGAACTTCATGGAAGAGGTAAAGAAATGAAAAATGAATTGTTCTGTATGTGCATTATTCATGTATTTATTTTCCAATTTTTTTTCATCAGCTCATCTTTAGCTACATTTTCAGAGAAGAAGGCATCAAGTTTTAAAATTCTGCAGTCAATTTCCTGTTTTATAACTTCTAATAAGAATCAGATATGCAAAAGTGGCAATTTTTTTTCTTAATACTATCTCTTAAGAATGAAACAAAAGAGGCACTGCGGTCTCATCAATGCTACAGATTTCCTCCACACCACCACTGTACTGATCAAAAAGCATAATGGACAGTTCCTCGTTTCTTTCAGAAATTGCTTTATTTATATTCGAATAAATTCTGAAATCTGGTCACGGTGTGTTACTTATAACCTCAGTATTTTATTATCAAGATTCATAAATTACACAGCATTTAGATAAAAAACGCATATCGCAGAGTTATTCTGGCTTTTTATATGCCCCCAAGAGATTAATACCAAATGTATCAGATCTGAGAGAGTGAGGATGAATGGCTACAGGAACTCATCAAGGGCTTGGAGGCTTAACGTAGATAATTCTTCCATTCTAATGCTTTGAACTTTGGTTAATGATTATTATAGATGAAAGAGAATGTGGCTTACCACAGTCCTCAAAGATTTACATATTAAATTCCAAAGCCAGCAGGTAGAAGTCTGAAATAGGACAAGTTTGTCCTCAATCTTCCCTTACTTGGTTCACATTCTGGGGGGATCATTATAATCTACTTTGGTTTTACATTTGAGTCTGTCCTACTAAAACTTCCCAACCCTGGCTTTTTCTGCCCCCATCACTATCCACCCCATATCCTTCAAATCAAGATTCCTTTTCCTGGCTTCAGGTGTCTCAAGTACAGATTTCTTTTGGTAAGCTAAGTAAAAATATGACACAAAGCCATTTGTATGTACTCTGTCTCATATATTGATAATATTCGTTGCTACTCAACCAATAGTTTAAAATATGTCTACTACGTATTAGGCAATGATCACTGATAGTGAACCATGCCTCCACCCCCGCCCCATGAAACCTGCTCTTGTGGACCTTATTTTATGGTTGTGGTGTGGGGAAGACAGTAAGAAATAACCAAACAAATATACATGTAGTGATAAGAGCTGAAGAGAAAAATAGAGATGGACAGGGTGTGTCAAAGGATTCTATATTAAATAAGAGATCAAGGAATAGTCTCTCTTAGAGGAGGAATTTGAGCAATGACCTGAACAACATAGGGAAATGAGCTACGTGGATATTTGTGGGGAGAGCATTCCAGAAAAGGAAACACGACACACAGTGCTCTCAGGAAAGCAGAGAGCCCAGGGTGCCTGCCGCAGAGTAAAGTGGGATGGGGGTACTGAGCAGATGAGGTGAAACAGGGGACAAGGAATCAAATCATGTGACTGTGTAGGCCATTATAAATACCTGGCTGAGGGTTTTACCTGGAGTACCATGATGTGATATGAGTGTTTTGAATAGACTCTAGAGGGCTGGGCATTAGGCAGCCCAGTGGCTTGGACCACAGCGGTAGCAACAGAGGTTGTGAGAATGTCTGGAGTCTCTACGCATGTTGAACACAGAGCCAACATCACTTGCTGACAGACTGGATTTGGGGAGTTCCTGTAACGTATTCCTCACTTGTCTTCTTTCTTCTCTTAGGTATGGGAAAGTCTGTAAGCAAAGCATAGCCTATTTCTTTATTTTTCTATATTAGGTACAGGGGATTGTGAGGAATCAGGGATTTCTGGGCTCTATTTGGAACTCTACCAGAACAAGAAAGGACTGATCAACATTAGTGGTCACACACGACTGATGGTGTCTTAGTCCATCTGAGCTGCTGTAACAAATTACCACAGACTGGGTGGCTAATAAACAACAGAAATTTGTTTCTCACCGTTCTGGAGCCTGGGAAGCCCAAGGTAGCCACTGGCAGATTCAGCGTCTGGTGAGGCCCCACTTCCTGGTTCACAGATGGCTGTGTCCTCACATGGAGGAATGAAGGAGGAAGCTCCCTGGGATCTCTTTTATAAGAGCACGAATTCCAGTCATGATGGCTCCACCCTCATGACCTAAACACCTCCCAAAGGCCCCATCTCCAAATGTCATCACTTTGGGGGTTAGGCTTCAACACATGAATTTTGGGGTGACACAAACATGCCATCAGATGGTAAATTGTAAAGTTACAGACGGTTCTCAAGAGAGAACTGATGTAGAACCACAACTTCTGGCCGCCTAGGAGATGAAGTCTTTAGATGACCTTGTTAATTATAATGAGAAGGCAATAAAGAACAATGAAGAAAATAGTCTATCGGGGTAGGGAATCTGGTCACCAGGATTTGATGGACCTGAGAGGTGGAGGGAAGGAATCAATGTCAGTTAAGGAGGAGAAACCTGGAGAAGACTCTCCTTTTGTCCTATAGATAAACCAAACACCTCCTTGGGCATTTTGAGCTCCTTTTAAGGCAAGGCCGCTCAAGTAAAAATGAAGCACGCCATTCCCACATCATTGTTCACCATCTTACTATTAGCAAAGACACTGGGTACGTGTGGGATTAACAGGGACATAATACACCTGGTCCAAAACGTCTGGACGCCAGGAATTTCAGGTGTTATAGAAATACTGAGATTGGCTCAAGATTATTTGCAAGGGTTCCAAGGTATGCTATCACGGGCCTCACGGATCACGGCTCCTATCTAATAGATTTGCAAGTCACCAACTCTTGCCTGAGGACAAACACCCTTATCTGAATAGTGGACATCCGTGGCACGTGGAAGAGAAATGGTGGAGGAAATTCTAGACTCCTAAAGAGGTTTCCTTGGGCTCTCCCTTACGTTAAAGGTAGGCTGGGAAGGAAGCTGATCTTGGAATATGGAACTTCATTATGAAATGGTGGGGAAATAGTACACATGGAAGATAAACTCTTGACTCCCTTCCCTACTTATCTCAAAGTCTTGCTTAGTGCTTTTTCTTCCTCATGTATGTGCAGATGTGCCTATAAAGCACGGCATATGCTTTATTTCTCTAAATTGCAAAGGAACGCAGCTTGCCCTACTGCTTTTCATTACTGGATAAACCAAGGTGTCAAAACAGCCCCTTCATAAGAAGTCCTAAACTCCCCACCTGTGGAGAATTTGCGTAAAAAGGAAAGATTATTCACTTTCCATCACCTAGCCAAATTACTGTGCTACTAAATCTATTGGCTTCACGTAAAATTGTAAATGGCAAGTAGCCCCACTCCTGACAAAATCTCACCAAATAAGGATCAGAATCTCAGGATAGAATACTGAAACAATTCAAATGTTCTGTCATAAAAATAAACAATTCCTCCATAGACAAGAGTAGTATTTTCTCCAAACAGAAACAACCAGCACCTTGGGGGGAAAAGAAGTTTACCATGCATTTTTACGTCATTTCATGAAAAGAGAAAAGACACAGGCTGCCCATTAACAAGGGGCATGAAAAAACATTGCCCTGTAGAGGGAAAGACATGGCTAATTTGTAAATCCAAGTCTGCCTTGTATTTTCCTTCATTTTCTACTCCCAAAGGAGGTATTTTAATACACCATTACTATTTTTAGTGAGGAAAGCTGACTACCACTATTCAAACTGCAAGTCTGAATTAAATTTAGGCATCAAGCTTAAAAAAAATAAACTAATGAGGAGAACTTCCTCCTCCTTCACCATTCATCTGTTTTCCAGGTTCTTCCCCTCGTCCTCACCCCACGTTCCAAGCACCGAATGAGGATCTAACCTGCGTCAGGCACTAGATGTGCTAGATACACGGAGACCTACTCTTTACTCCCAAGGGGCTTCAATGTTGGGAGTTGGGTTTACTACGCAAAATGAAAATTCAAAAAGAACATGGTAAATTCTACACTAGAGATTGGAAAAACAACAACAACAAATAGTACAAAATCAGAAGAGAAACTTTACGGTAGTCCATTATTTTAAACAATTAACAAATAGTAATTTAGAGATGTTTTGTCCTTGGAAAAAGGATTAATTGTACTTTTGTTAAATGACCCAGACAAGTTTTTAGATTCAGTGAACTCAGGTTACCTATTTGTGAACAGATTTCTAGAAAGCCACAACAATCCAGTTTTACCTTATGATAACACCTAAAATATGCAGCACGTTCATCGGAAAATTTCTCCAGTCTTTTTGGACCTTTGCTTGAAGCTTTCTTGAATACTAGCCAGCATCGCTGATATATCTGGGAGGAAATACAAAGACAGAGTTCAGCATCACTGACTGAGATATTACTGACATTTACAGTCAAATGTTTTCTTTTTGATGTTTTCATGTGTAAAGTATTCATAAGCCATAAGCATCATGCTACTTTGGGAAAATAAAATTTTAAAACCCAAAACTGTTTCCACAACAGGCATATTATGTCATTTGATTGCTGGAATCAAATGAAAATGAATATTTAAAGGCAAATTTCTTAACCTTTCACTCACAGTATTAGTAGCAACATTTCAGAAAAAGTCCCAGAGATAAAAATCAGCACAAATAATATAGGCATTCATGGCACATGCTCTTATTTCAAATGCAATTAAATATGGAAACCATGGGCCCAATGTATGCTGAAGACTTCACTGAGAGCCCTATAAAGAGATGGCCCCTACGTGTCATAAGACGTCCCTTATAACTGAGGGTCAAGAGTTGGGTCAGACACTAGACTAGCTAATAAATGACTGATAAACACCAATCAGATTCTCCCTCAGAAAATCCAACCCAGAGACTCGAAAACTACTGTCATACTGAGGCACAGGCTGAGTTGAGAGGTAAACCCTGGTAGGTTATAAACTGAGGTTGGCGACCATGTTGAATCACGGGCCTAATAGTTAAGCAGTGGAACCTGGTACAGAGAACTAGATAATTTCTATTCCAGGCAGAAGAGACATTTTAGTCCTTTGTCATCTTTCTGTTGCTGACTTCTCCTGGTTTTCCTGGAAATCATCTGTGTCCCTAGGAACCCACCACCATCAACATCACTCTTAATTGAGTGAGGCTGATTAGAGTTCTTATCTGAGCAACCAAAGCTACCTAGATTGGAATAACCAATATAAATTAGACACTAAAATATTAATCATACCAAAGAGAGGAAAGTGCACAGAGCTAATGAGTAAATGAAAAACAATGTTCTCCAAAAGCAAAATAAATTGAGATGTTTTAACCTAAAAATTAATAAGGATGTATATTAATGATAATATTCACTGATAGCAGAGATCTGAGTGGCACTCTTACACTCTGCTGGTGACCTCTAGAGGCCATCTGACAACAAATATGAAGAACTTTAAAAGAATAAGAATGTATCGGAAAGAAAAAGCCCAAATGCAGCCCAAATCGACAGAGGAATTCTGAATTCAAGAGCAGACAGGTGGGTACGTATTCAGTCACAATTATCTCCCTGATCCTTAAATCACCTTCTAAGTACCATATTTATGTGGTTTTGTATAGTCAACCCATAAATAAATTTTATGCACTATAAAGTTTAAAGAACCTCTGAGCTAGTAAGAAGAAACAAAAAGTCCACATAAAACATTCGGCTATTCAAACCATACTCAATTTAAAATGCCTTCTACAACTTTATTAGTAACTGGCAGGTGGATGAGGAATTCAGGTTTGCTACTACTTGTCTGCAGTGCTAAATAGATTCTGTTTTTCTCTTCTCACTCCGGAAACTAAACACTCATTAATCGTTTTCTTTGGGGTGGTAAAAAGAACATGAACTCCACTCCATGCTGAAGTTTTGCTCTGAATACAGAGGGTAAGATATGTGCCTCATCCTGCTGAATGTATAATTCTAGTATTATTATTTATAATAATAATAAAGAGAAACTACAAAAGCCTCAAAAATAAGGAAGGACAAAGTTAATGATAGTATGTCTATTATAAACAGTAAGTATATAATATGTGGTACATAATATATATAATACAATATAGACGTACGCATCTGTAAGATAATATAGGTAGTCATTTATATTAAAAATGTAGTAATATGAATAGTACACACAATATATAGAGTAAATTATGCTACACCAGTAATATATATGTTACCTCTCTATAGGATACCATAGGTATATCATTTGAAATAAATTTCAGAAGGAATTTCTTAATGACATGAGAAAGAAGGGGGGGTTGCTTGTTTTTGTTTTGTATAATAAAAATTAATACTGTAAAATAAATGAAAGAGAATTGTTATTTCTTAAATATCCAGAGGCATCAGTAAAATAGTACAATTAAAATCAATTCTATTGGCTTTCATCTTGCATAGTTATTAAACTTATCAAGAAATAAAAAAGCATGGAGACAGAAACAGAAAAGTAATTCGGCAGAGAAAGAGTAGCCTTTCAAACAACTGGCACTGGAATAATTGAATATCTGAAGAAAAAAACAAATACAAAAAAGCACAATAAACAAACACCTTAACCTAAAACATTCATCTTACACAAAAATAAACTCACAATGGACTTAAATATAAAACAAAACTATAAGACTTTAGAAAAAAAAAAAAAAGACCAAATTTGGGATCATGGTCTGGACAAAGAATTCTTAGACTTCATACCAAAAGTACAACCCATAAAAGAAAAACTTGCCAAACTGTACCTTCTCAAAACTTAAAATTTTTGCTTTGTGAAAAAGCCAATTAAGAGGATGAAAAGACAAGTTACAGAGTGGGAAGAAATGTTTGGAAACCACAAGTCTGGCAAAGGATTAGTATCTGGATACATAAAGAAGTCTTAAAACTCAACAGTAAAGAATCAAACAATCCAATAACAAAATGGAAGGAAAACAAAAAACAAAAACCATGAACACACATTTCACCAAAGAGGATGCACAGATGATGAAGCACAGAAAACATTATTAGCCATCAGGTAAATGTAAATTAAAACCACAATGAAATATCAGTACACATCTATCAGATTGGCTTAAAAAAAAAAAAATACCACCACCAAGTGCTGAAAGGATGCAGAGAAATTGGGTCTCTTACACTTTGCTGGTCGGAATGTGGAATGCTACAGGCACTCTGAAACATAGCTGGGTAGTTTCTTTAAAAACTAAACAAGCAACATATGACCCACAGTTGCTATCTTAGGAATCTATCCCGGGAAAATGCAAACTTCCCCCACCGCCAACACACACACCATCTGAACATAAATGTTCATAGCAGCTTGATATGTATCAGTGCAAAACTGAAAACATCCATTTATTCTTCAGTGGGTTAATGTGGTCCATCTATATCATGGAATACTACTTAGCTATAAAAACAATTGAACTATCAATACCGCAACAATTTGAATGAATTTTCAGATAATCATGCTTGCAGGGGGGCAAACCTAAAAGGATACATACTATATGACCCTATTTATAGCATTCTTGAAATGACAAAATTACACAAATGGAGGACAGACCTGGGATTATCAGGGGTTAGAGATGGGAAGTAGATATGTCGACAAAAGGGGAACATGAGGGATCCTTGCAGCAATGGAGCCATCCTGTATCTTGACTGTATTAATGTCAATATCTTGGGTATGATGTTGCATTATAGTTTTGAAGATGTTATCACCAGGGAAACTGGGTAAAGGGTACAGGATCTTTGTGTAAGATTTCTTAAAACTGAATATAAATCTACAACTGCCTCAAAATAAAATACTTAAAATTTTTTAAAGGGAAAAATGGAGGGATATTTAAGCAAACTCTTAAAATTATAGCCTAATCTAAGAACAGTTATCTACATTTTTTACCAGTCCTCCTCCTGCTGCTATATCAGACCACAGTGTAATTAACCAATGGACTATGGAACTTTAAGCAGCCACATTGTAAGAGCCACTGGTAAGAATTCAAACATACACCTCTCAGGATAGAGACCCCACCATGAAAATTAACATTTCCAGTCCTGTGGTTGACACATAGAAGTCTTACCAACATCTCACTCGTGTCTGAATAACGGATGAGACAACAGTCTCCCTGAAAATTTGACCACCACCACAGGACTGTAAATACAGTGGGAATAACTGTTACTCTGTTTCCATAAGAAGTGGGGAAAATAGGCTGTCATTCTACTATCGGCAACCCCTTTCTTTTGCACATGCCCCTGAAAATGTTTTAGAAATTGAGCATGCTAAAGGTATGCAAAAATATATCCACTGTAGCAAAACATTATTTTCACTTAGGAAGATAATTTACATTTCCTAATTATGCCTCCACTTTCAGACTCACTCTTAAATGATACCATTTCTAACTTCCTTTTATACTTGTTCATTTTCTTCACAATCAAACCAGTCTTTTCCTGGCTTATGTCCAAAGGCTGTTCAATGCAAGCTAAAGACTCCTCAAATTCAGCACGCCTAATGATGCCCACCTTTGATCCATCTGTAGCAGGTTTAGGGGATTTTTGTTTTTCATTTTTTGTTTTTCTTCGATTTTATTAAGTAGTAAGGGCAAAAGTGCAATATTACAAATAACTGCATAAATACTATTACATAAATTCACATGCAACTATTGGTGGGGGCATCACCGTCGAATAGATTACATCATGTTGGTTCATCAGGAGAGAAGGAAAACCAAAATCTGGCTTATGAAAAGGCAGCTCAGGATGTTTGTAACATACAAACACATGGTACGAAATAATGCAAAAGTTGGGAGCAATCGTACCATCAAGGCCATTCCTCATTCTGCCACACATCACACCTCAGTGATTCTCAGCGCTGGTCCAGCATCACTCAAGATAATTGTTAATTATGTAGATTCCTAGAGATTAGCCAAGGTCTACTGACTCAGAACCTCCTGGGGTGGGGGCCAGACAAATTTGCTCTTTAACATGTTCCCCAGGTGTTTTATTTGCAATCCGCAAACCCAGGCCATAAATATTCATAAAGATGCAGACAACACAGTGCTTCCCACTCGGGACTGCCAACAAAGAGTTCTCCAACAAATGCTCCATGAGGTGGGCCTCTGTGATGTGTGCTTTCCCACAAGTGGTGCACAGAGGGCTTTGAAGTCGAGCAGTGTGAGATGCTGTCATGAGCAGAAGAGAGATAAAGAAGCAGAAATAAATCTGTTCAGCTCCGGTGAACTCTCAACTTCACCGCTGGACACTCTCTGTCCTAAGAATTCTGGGAGAGCCACCTAGTACCTGAGGATTAAAAACTTACCCTAAATATCTCAGTACTCTTCCAAGGGAATGAAACAGGACTCCCTGAATAT